CCCGCCCTGGGGGTACAGGGAGCTCAGATCCAGGTCTGAACATGGTAACTGGGACAAGTTTAAACTCTCCTGACACTGGGCGAAAGCTCCCACTCGGTGCTCTGTGCCCAAGCCCTGACTGTGATGGGCCAAGCCCAGACCCTGGAGCGGGCATCTGCAGGCTCGATGACATGCAGATCCAGGCCCATCTCTCACCCTGACAGCAGCTTGCTGAGCTCTCTGAAGCAAGAGGAGTGATGGCTGCCTTGGCAGGCTGGCTGAAGACACAGCACTGCCTGCTGGGGTTCCCAGCAGCCTGAGCGTTATGCCTGGGCCCCCCATGCACAGAGAGCAGAGCCAGCCCTGCAAACCCACAGTCTTGCCTGGCTCGGGAACTGGCAGGAACTCCCACCCCTGCTGCCCTCCTCCCATTGCAGGGTGGGGATGGCATGGGGAAAGGGCCTGTGTAGGCGGCAGGGAAGGCAGGGCCCTGGTCAGGGACTGTGGAGCTGCTGCTGGAGGGCTCTGGGAGTATCGCAGGGCTGCAGTGATTTCTGGGTGAAGCCTGGCATCCCAAAGGCTGTAGAAGGGGTCTCCAATCCAGGGCAAGGTCTGGTGGTTCGCACGAACTATGAGGAAGAGCGCCTTCGCCACAGGAAGGCTTCACAGCAGAGGCCACAGGGCTGCAGTGGCACCTGACAGGCCATTCCAGCCCAGTGATTTGGGACTCCTGGGGACAGATGTTATCAGGGCAATGAGTGAGGACATGGAGGCACCAAGCGGGAGGGTGCAGTGCCCCAAAGGGGGCAGGGCGGCAGTTGGGCCATGGCACTGCGAGGAGGAGTTGTCTGTACATTGTCCTCTCAGGGAAGTGTGGCGTGTCCCTAGAGCTCAGTCTGTAGCTACTCAGTGAGCCCCCCACACCTCCTTCAAAGAAAGAGCGTCAAAACCAGCTACGGCTTTCATGAGAACTGAGGTACTGCTGCCCACCCTCTGCCTCCTGCTCTCCCTGGGGGATGTGCGAAGCACTCCAGAGAGCAGGCCATGTTGGAAGTCTAGGCATCTGCATCTGAAAACATTGCCCCGCCTGCTGAAAGCTGTTGGATATCTGCAGTGCAGTGGGATGGCCACTGCTTTGGCTGACCCTACAGTTGAACTCAGGTCATCCAGCACTAAAAAGCACATGCTGCTGCAGCACGCGCTGAACAGCCAACCTCTGAAGGGGGTGGTGTGAGGCAGCAACAGACTCATAGCCTTTGGGGGTCAGGAACAGAGGATGACACATACCCCTCATGGTAACAGTGCATTACAGTAGCACTGTAGCCAGTGAGGATCCGTTATTGCCTGATGGCAAATTGGATTCCATGGGCACCTGATCTGGGTAAATAAGAATCTATGTCATGCCAGCAGTGCCCTGCCGTCGCCTCGGTGCCCTGCATTGTCTATTTTCTCCTGAGAAAAGCAGAACGAGAGACTAGTTCACAGGGTTTTGACATAGGGCTTCCTGGGTCAGGGAGGACAGCAGATTCAGCAGCGATGTGCTCTGGGGTGGGGAGGGAAGCGAGTGGCATGACCATGCTATTTTGGGGGTTAGCAGTACCAGCATGGGTGTATTATGGTGGGTAGGGGCAGCAGGAGAGAAATCAGAACATCTGGCCTGTGGGACATTCTGAAATTCCAAAATTTGTTTTCATCCAGTATTAGGATGTAAAGTTGAAATTTTCACAGAATGGAAATTCTGAAGAAAAAAAAATCTCATTTCTGAAACATTGAAATAATCTTACTGAAATGTTTCATTTTAATATATTTAAATACCATATAATATTAGAATTAATATTTTATAATGTAATGTAAAAAATCAAACTGAAACAAGAAAATCAGAATGGAACAAAATGGGAAACACAAAATGAAATGAGAAAGTCAAAGCACAATATTTCAGTTTGACTGCCAATCATTTTGAAAATTTTCTATAGAAAAACGTCATCAGAATCAACACATTCCAATAAAACATTTTGCAATCGATGAAACATCATTTTCTGATGGAAAACTGTTCCATCAAAAATTTTTCAGCCAGCTCTAGGCAGCAGAATGAGCAAGCTATGGCACCTGGGGGAGGCCGTGAGACGCATCATGATCATGCTCTCTGGGGAGAAGAGAGCACAGCCATGTGCTTTGGAATCAGGATGGAGTAGCAAGAGAAGATGCTGTGGAGCTTGGAATGCTGGTGGCAGGAAGTGCTGTGGGTTCAGGAGATCCCAAATGAGATGGGATACCAGCAGTGTTGCAGTACTACAAGCCCTCCACATGCCGCCAAACACAGACACAAAACTACAGATCCATTTGTTCTCACTGGGTTTTTATTTTTATTATTCAGCTGCCCCACAGCTGCTTGTATGAGCCATTTGCCATGCCCAAAGGGGAGAAGATCTGTACATGGTGCTGGTTCCCAGCCCTCCCATGGTCATGTGGCTCAAGCAGCACTTCTTTCCGGTTTATGGAAATATTTTATTTTTAAAAATATAGTAGCTGTGGAAAGCAGCCCTCTTTATAAACGCTGATGCTGGGGTGAAATGCATCGTCATCATCATCATCATTATTATTAGCTCTCATCGGCATCTGCTTCCACTCATGTTGGCCCTGGTTGGATTCACCAGGGCAGCTGCACTGCACCATCTGTTGTAGTCAGGAGCGTTCGCACTGCCAGAGCGAGCGAGAGAGAGATCCTTCTAAAAATAGAAATATTGTGCTGAGTCATTTGAAGTGAACAAGATACATAAAACACCAGCATTAGATTAACATTAGCTTGTCAAATACTGCTCCCCGCTGAGTTGGCTTAGTGCACTAGCAGAGATGGATATCCCTGCTTCCCAACCAGCAGCCTGAGCCGAGTAGCAGGAGAATGAGAGGAGAGACATAGCTGTTTATTGTGTTGGGTGCTACTTTTTGTGTTGTTCCTGCTGGGACAAATAGCAAAGGGAGCTGTTCCAGTGGATTACAAATCAAAAGAAACCAGACCCAACAATGGGGATTCTCAGAAAGGATCAAAGAAGAGTTATAAATAGGGAACAGTAAACACAACCTTTTGAAATAAGACACATCTATAATCACAGGATTAACTGGTGCAAACGCCCCTCCCGCCCATTCCCATTCCATACAAAGGACTCTGGTAACAATATCTTCATTCCAGACTTGGAGCAAAGGTGAGAGTCTTAAGGAACAAAGAGAGAAATCTCATTATCAGGTTACTTGGTTGGGCAGGGGAGGAGTGGGTGGAAGGAAAACAGAGGGCGTAGCTGGTTCAGGTCCTTTGCAAGTTCATTTGGTTATTCTGGAGAATTCCTAGGGCTATACCTGAGATGAAGAGGTCTAGGAAACACTCCATAGTTTGATTAAAACATGGTAAGTGTTTTGTGCCTGGGAGAGCTCTCCTTGCTGGGACTTGTCCATCACGCATGCCCCATACAATGGGAGAGCAGCTTCTCACCTCCCTACACTCCTCAATGCAATTCAAGCTAATGCTGATGTCCAGAGGTGATCCGTCATGTATCTAGAATTTCCCTAGTGGGTGACTGCTCATGAGAAATTCCCTGTGTACTGTGGATAGTCTGATTGTGAGAGATTGAGTTCTGCTGGAGCTCTAGGGCAATAGCATTCTGGGGGAATTCTTTCACCTGTTTCTTATACTCTAAGAAAGTGCATGCCTTGGTGGCTATAGCAATGATGTTCTTGCCAATAAAGATAGTGGAGACCCTGCTGTCCTGGAACAAGACCATGTTAATGGCCCGGATGAATATGGTGACAATGTTGATGGTGACCAGGCTCAGCACAGGGTAGAGCATCATTTTCTGTGGAGCAATGTGCTCCCCTTGCATGCTAATCTCACTAAGAGAGACACAAGGCAGGATCAAGAGCAGTATGTAACAATAGAAGAACATGAGCCCTTCTGCCCAGATGGGAAGCCCAGTCTTATGTGGCTCCCATAGGTTGGCCTGAATATCTAATATATCCAGCAGATCCAGGGCCACCCAGAAGAGGCGTCCCCGCAGATCCTCCTTCTTCCTGAAGGTTCGTATGTACTCCATGCTGTCTAAGGCCACCAGCACCAGGTAGAGCCCTGGCACACAGATGGACAGGAGCAAGGTCAAAGCCTTCCTGGCCACTGTCTCCAGATTCTTCTTGTCTGCTTTGTAATTCTGAAATATAAAATACAGCTTAATCTCCAGCACGAAGATGTAGAGAAACCACAGGATCATGGCGTAGCCCCGCTTGGCTGTTTTCACCTCAGCCCCCACCCATACTGCCACATAGCGCAGCACGATGAGGAAGCAGATGTCTCCCACCAAGACAATGATGCAGACGCCAATCTTCCGTGGCCCTTGGTTCTGCTCCACCAGGTAGGCATCCATGAAGGCCATGCTGGTCATGATGACAATGGTGGTCAGACACACGTGGCGCTTGTCAGGCGGCGGCAGCACCATGGTGAGGTGAGCTGCCCTCCCTCTCTCTCTCTCGTGCCTCCTTGTTTCACTTCAAGGGAGGAGGCCCATGGGCTGAGTGAAGAGGCTCATCAGTTATAGACAAAGCACCAAGGCCACCAGGAACAACCCCCTATAAAAAGTCCCTGAAAGGACAAAGCAATAGACAATACCGGCTCTTGAGGGTCTTACATCAGGGTGCTGCAGCAGAGAAATGCACCTGGAATTCCAAGTCACCCTTCATAACAGCTGATCCCAAAGGCTTAAATCCAGTAGCTCTGCTCTTTAGGCAGCAAAGCTGGTCCCTCACTGAGTCCTCAGATAGATCCTCCACAACATCGCCTAACACTCTCCAGTGCTGTTCCCAAGGGCTCTGCAGGGGTTAAACACATGGAGTTCACATTAAGAAATGCTCTGCCCCTTTGCTGGGTTTTCCATTGTTGTCAGTAAGAGGGAAGAGAATGTCCTTGCATGGCCTGTGGGCAGCAAGTCAATGTCTCTAATGCACTTCCTGGCACCAAGCCAGAAATTTTCCTCCAGATCCCTGGAAATCAGATTAATAATCAGGCAAGTGAGTCAGATCTGTACTGCCAGGAGCCAGTCGGGGTATAAGAAAGGCGAAGCAGTTCAGGAAATGGCGCTTTCCTCCTGGTGAATGGCTCAGGAGTCAGAGATTAGGGGCTTTTTACTACCTCAGCTGGGATTCCCCTTTCCCCGTCCTCCGGCAGGAATCTCATTTGTATTATCCATGGTGAACCTAGTTCGTTCTTCCTGGCACTGGGTTTAAATCCTTCACCTCTGGCCCACCATTCACTGCAATCTGTAAGAGACCAAGGAGAACACTGGTTAAGGGCTTGCCAGTCACAGATACCAGGGGTGAAAAGTTGCATTTGTGGAAGTCCCTCAGCTCCAGAGGTGATGTATAGGCTGTGAGCTGGACTCCCTGCTTGTAACTGAGACTCCCCCACACTCAGGCTGCCTTAAACCTATGTTCACCAATGCTACTGGAGTGTGGGGGAGGCTAATGTCCCTCTTCCCTTCAAAGACATCTTAAATAAGTACTAATATTAGAACTTATGTGCCTGTGACTCTGGAAGTGCAGAATATCTTCTATTCAGCAGGGTGGTGCAGTTACATAGATTTGCATAGGAAATATGCATCAAATGGCAGAGGTCTAGAAGCCTCTTTATAAGAACCCCAGCCCTCAGGTGCAAGAGAATCCCTACTGGTCTCTATCGGACAGCAACACAGTGTGATGACTGGCCTATCAATTTACTCTCATTCTGAGCTTAGCTGTGAGAAGGGAGGAGTGGAAGGTCCTAAGGTGTCACAATAACCTAGACAGTTAATGCTGATGGGAAAAGGTGCAAATGAAAAGCCTATAACTTAAGGACCGTGTTAAGCTCATGCCTAGTAAATAGGAACAATGTGAGACTGAAAGTCAATAAGCTAGTATTGGTGTATCTGATATTAGGCCCAATTGGTGTACAAAATAATGAGGGGATGGGCTGTTCCACCCACCACTGCCTTCAGGGTTTCTTACAGAAGGAGGCTTTGGGAGAAAAACTGGCTACTGGAGTTACCTTCACTATCATGGCTGCCACCCCCACCATCTCCTGGGCCTGGCCCCTCTTTGTGCTAATCCTGAGAGGTGTCCTGACCTGACCAGGTCAGAGAGAGGGATCCCGATGACATCACCACCTCCACCAGCTGTGGCTGAATCCTGCCATGTGGGATGTGGGACTTTGCCAGCTTTGTGTGTTCTTTTCCTTCCCCACTTTATTTCTTCTCTTTCCTATTCCTCTGCTTGTCCCTTCTGTCTTAAAAAGAATTTGACTTAGCTGGCCAAGACCATCCATTTTACGGCACTCCTGTGAGCCTGTGGCCAGACAGAGGTAGCTAAACCAATGCCCTAAACAGCCTGATGCTGGTACGAGTTTGCCAGGTCTCGGCGCAGTTGGTCAGACCATGTGCTGGGTCTGTGTTTTTCCAGCTGTGAGGTTGCATGTCAGAGTCAACCCCAGAGACAGAAGCTGCATTTTCTGCCTTTGCTGTTCTTTTCTCTTCCCTCTTGTTTGTCTTGTTTTGTCTTCTTAGGAAATGAGATCCGATTTAACAACAGCAACAATGACTGCTCCAGCCCCTCTCAACTAACTTCTTCTCTTCCCCCCCCGCCCCCCGCCAAATGGACAGTTCTTACCATCTAAAGGATTGTCAGACAGGGGCTTTTTCACTTTAAAGACTCTCTCCAGCTGCAGGGAAAGGGAATAAGGGATGTTGTTAAAAAGAAAGCCTCACTTAATACTTTGCATTTCAAACACATTAACTGTTTCCCTTCATTTCTATATCTTTACTAAAAGTTTTAGAAGGCTGTTTAACGGGGTGTTTGCCATGGCACTGAGCAGGTCTTTGTGTACCAAACCCTGAACCTTGTTTAACACAGTTTAATGCTGGGCAGGGTCTGGGTTATGCCAACACTATATATTCCATCCCAGTTAACACACCACCACCTTTCAAACAGTGCATACAAATAAGTATGGGCGACAAGTGCTGTCCCAGAGGCTCTGTGCGCTTGGATGCAGAGGGGCTCCAGCTCAGGAGCTGTACCAGTGTGGAAAGCTAGGGGGCTCCCTCGCTCCTCTGATAGGCAACAGTACACAAGGCCATGGTTCTGCCAGTAGCACAGTTGGGCATCAGCATTCAGGGTAGTAGGGGCTGGGTGATGGCTATGGGGCAGATCACTGCCGCATATGTGGTGGCCCCCAGCTTGGCCAACACACTGGGGATTGAACCGGGGACCACTGGAGGTAAAAACGTGAGTGGCTACAGCTAGAGAGTCAGGCAGCCATGGGTGGGGCTGTAACAAACTCATGTTCTCTGTGGATCAGGTACAGTGGGGAACCTGTAGCACACACTCACCAGTGGGTTACAGAGTCCTGGCCAAACTCAAAGCAAACAGGAATTTTAGCTTTTACATCATTCTTGTCCCTACGGTCCTAGTGCTGGATATTACAATCTGGCCCAGTCTCCCTCTGTACGGGCACCAGTCTCCTGCAAGTGGACCTAATTGCTGGGTTCCATGGGCTTCCAAGCCATTTGGGTCTGGGTAGAATCCAGTCACTGTGTCTAGCTCTGGGATCCTATGGCACACTCCTGGGCTCATGCCCTTCCTTGGGATGTGGGGCACAGCTGCTCTAGACCCCAAAATCAGTGTCAGAGATCTCCCAATCACCCCCATCCCCCAGTCGCTTACACACTGCCCACCTAGGCACTCTGGCCTTCTAGTTTAACTGCTTCACATACAAGGTGGCAGGAAGGCAAGGCCCCCAGGCTTGGCAAAGGAATTTCTTAGCCACAGAGACATTTAAAGCTCTCAAGAGTTACAGCTCTTTGAACCAATGTCCTGTGTCTGATCTTGCCCTTCTGTGCGTCAGAGGTTCTTCAGTGTTTCCAGCTGGGCAGAGTCCCTCCGCTGAGCCCTGGTTACCTATGACAATGCACAGAGCAGAATTCTGCTCTTAAATAGGGGGCCTGTTTCCTGGCCACCAGTCATGCTTGCCCATTGTTCATGGGCTGGGACAGTAGCTGAGAGGGATATACTCTCAGCGATAGTCTCTAGGGAATCTATTTCTTAGCCATTACCTGAACAAATGTACTAATTTGGTAGGAGTTGTAATAGAAAGAAAGCCTGTGCTTCATTAACAATAAACCTGGCTGGGTGCCTTCGCTACTAATCAGGTCTGGTGGTCTTTGTGGGCAGTTCGATCGAAGTGCGCTGTGTTGGTTCTCTGGCTGAGGCAGCCCACAGAAAGAATACAGACGCAGCCAACGACTGACAACAGAAGGCATTTATATTGGCTGGCCCTGGTGCTGGTATTTGCACCAGTGAAATACTGTGCAGCAGTTTGGGGAAGAAGTTGGCATACGCATCACGTGATTCAGAGCTGAACACGGCCACCTGCACCATTAGTGGTTGCCTGAGCTGCACATTAACATCTAATTTCTGTGTTGGCTCAGATAGCTCCCCCAAAACTTCAAGACAAGATGCCGTCACCCTTACAACTGCATGGAGGGCTGTGCCAGATGAAAACAAGCTGCTGCACACAAGGCTGACACGGTTCCAATAGGTGCAAATAAGCACCGCACACTTCCCACAAGAGCTGCCTGCGTCTGGAAGAAAACAGCTACACTGGCAGTTCCTGCTAATTGCCATGACTGGCTTTGCAACATGCATTTATAGTGGACATTCGTGCACTCATGTCCAGTGCTGCTGGTCCAATGCCACAGATGGAGACTAGTGAACCTACTACAGACTTGGCTAGTAGAACTGATTCTTCTAGCTCAGGCAATAAAGGCTTATGGTCATCCAGAAGTCCCAGGTTCAATACCCCTTGTTAATAACCTATCCAGAGGTGTGGTGTTACAGTAGTAGCCACCCACTTTATTTTCTCCCTCTCCCCCCAAGCAACAGGAAGTCTCCATCCTCCCCACCTTTGCAGCAGCAGGAGGCATGGTCATCAGTGGTAGTGAGTAGGGGGCCAGATGGCTGCCACTTTGGTACTATTGGTTGCTTCCCCTGCTGTAGGATGTCTGCATTCTCATGCAGGCCTTAGTGCCTTGGTTACAGTAGGGGCAGTCCCTCCTTTCTGATTGATCTTCCCAGACTTAGGCAGATATCACTGCATGGGTTACACATGGGGCTGTTCCCTCTCTTAAAGCAATTGTATCAGGCTCTCTGAAGACTCAGGCAGACACCACTGCATCAGTTGCACTTGGGTCATGTTCTTAACCTTTTCGTCACAACCACAAGGGCTGGAAACACATTTGTTTTAAAGAAAATCAAGCTGAGATTCTGATGTCATCACATGGGTGGGAGTCAGGGTTCTAGGCACCTGCGTATTGTGCCTGTGTCAAAATCCAGACCTGAGGAAATCACACGCCACCATTTTGATAGAGCTGAATAGAGGGATACTGACTCTAAACTATGAGGGCACCATGTACCATGTATGAGTTTACCTGTTTGCCAAATGAACCATTTTATCAACCATTCTTTCCTGACAAGTCCTTATCAAATAACGTGTCAAAACACATTATAGCCTTTGGATTATTGGTTAATTGTTGGATGATAATTTGATTTCTATATAAAGTTACTCTGATTGGTGACTTAAGGTTTATAAATA